TACATTGGGGGCACTGTTGTACTCGGGAGATGTTGCTGAATACATATTGGGTTGTTATTTGTCAGTAATACATAACAGGAACTGAGAATCAATGCCTAAAATACAATGTGAGAGAAAAATAACACAAAAAAATGACTTCCCAAAAGGTTGACAAAGACTGGTGATAAAATTAGTGCATGGAAAGTGTTAAAATATCACCCTTTGAACTACCCAGGGTGTCTACTTTTCAAAAATATATGGTTTGATGGGAGTAAATTACATTGGCCGGCTTCAAAAATGTCCCAAATAGGACATGGGTGCGTGATGACCAGCTGTGAAAATTCCAATTTGGAAAACTGGAATGCGCACCCTTCAAATAAGGTATTTTAGCCCCCAGAGAATCTGACACATCTATACATGTGGGGTAGCACTATACTCAGGATATGTTGCTGAACACATATTGGGGTGTTCTTTGGCAGTAACCCTTAAGGTTCGTAGTACATGTCTTCTTAAATTGCTATGTGTGTCAAAAAATCACCAATATTTCTTTTTATTTTTTTATTTGGCATAGATTGGTGGTAAAATGGTTGTATGAAAAGAGCATGAAAAGAGTCGAAACACCCCAAGTTTAATACCTTAGGTTGTCTTCTTTTAAAAAATATATACATGTGAAGAGTTATTCAGGGATTCCTGACAGATATCAGTTACAATGTAACTTGCGTTAATTTAAAAAAAAAAAAAATGGTTTGGAAATAGCAAAGTGCTACTTGTACTTATAGCCCTATAACTTTCCAAAAAAAGCTAAGAGCATGTTAACATTGCGTATTTCTAAACTCATTGCAAAATTTAGATTTTGGGGGGTCAAATTTTGAAAAAGTTTGTATTTTTAAATTTTTTTCATCATATTTTATAGATTTTTTTATTGTAAATTATATGATATGATGAAAAAAATGGTATCTTTAGAAGGACCATTTAATGGCTAGAAAAACAGTATATAATATGTGTGGGTACAGTAAATGAGTAAGAGGATAATGACAGATAAACACAAACACCGCAGAAATGTAAAAAGAGCCCTGGTCCTTAACGGTAAGAAAATTGAAAAAACGGTCTGGTCACTAAGGGTTAAAGGGTTAAAGGTGATGTCAGTCCTACAGTCATAAAAATAAACCACTCTCTTTTTTGCATGCATTTTGTATGCAGACAATTGACTTTCTTGCGGTCTGCTGGGGAGGGGACTTGTAAAGGTGGATGGGTGAACAGTTGTTTGTGCACTTGGAGGAAGTAATAGAAGATTATAAAATCCCAGCTCTGATACAGATTAACAGAAAGGCTGTTCTGGCCTTGTCAGTTCTCAAATGTGGTCTGATTTGGGGGGATATTTCAAGCTCCTCAGTTGGACTAGATAGAATTTAAAACCCCTAAGCAGGCTCTTGTGCTTAACCAATCCCCTGACCAAACCGTGGTCTTTAATAACCTAATGGCAGTACAAATTGATATTTTTAGATGCTATATAAATCATATAACAAATTATTAAGTATGAATAAAATATAATAAGAGAAAAAAATTATATATATATATATATATATATATATATATATATATATATATATATATATATATATATATATATACAGGGAGGGCTGGCAGCCTTAGGCCTGGGGGGCAAAACCAGTCAAGTGGCCCATTGCACCACCAAATCAGTTCACCATCCATGCCCACCTTTTCCTGGTTTTATAACGGATATTGATGTTATGCTAATCAGTAGCTCTTTGCCATACCCGCTCCTTCACGGCTCCAGGCACTGCTTGTTGTGAGTGTGAGCCACTGTAAATTAGGGGCAGAGGGCACTTGCACTGCGGTAAAGATGGGGCTGGGCAGGAGGAGAGTGCAGTGCAATCAGTGCACTCCCCTCCTGTGGGTCACCAGTAGACTGGTGCACCTGCCCAGGATCAGAGCCGGTGCAAGGATTTTTGCCGCCCTAGACAAAATAAAAATTTGCTGCCCCCCCATGTAACATCACAATGCCCCACCCATATGAACTAACGCCAGTGCTGCACACAGTGTGTGTTTACATTAAAAAGGCTGCAGGGACCAGCTATAGACACCAGAACCACTTCATTAAGCTATAGTGTCCCTTTAATGTGAGGTACATTATAGATTAGTGTCACTAATAATATACTAGATTGCCTACTTACAAGCAGATGAGGATGATGATGGGCTGCAGTTTGGCTCCACTGGTCTGGTGTAGAACAGGATCTCTGGAGGCTGTTTGCAACTGTGGTCACAAAATTCAATGTTCTGGGAGAATTGGAAGCAGCTCCATTTTTTGGGGCCCCTTACACAGCTCAAGTCTGGGCCCCAGGGCCTGACGGTGAGTATGCCCATAAGGCCCACTCATAAGTTCCACCCACCCATGAGTTCGCTCACAGGGAGTGGAGTGTGTAGGGGATGTGTTATGTGTTATTGTAGAGGATCTAATATGTGTGCTTATGGTATGTAGTGTATAGGGTTACCAGTTTGTGCAGGTGATGTAGTGTGTTTGTGTGTAGTGGAAGCAGTGTGTATTTGTGTATAAGGGATGTATTATGTGTTTCTGGTTGTGTGTAAGGGATGCATTGTGTGAATCTGTGTTTGTATGCATAAGGGATGCAAAGTGTGTGTCTGTATGTGTGTGCATTGAGTGTAAGAGATGCATTGTGTTTCTGTGTGTATGTAAGAAAAGAAGTGTGTGTGTTTGCATGTGTGTGTACGGGTTTGCATTGTCTGTTTCTGTGTATGTGTGCAAAGGATGCATTGTCTTTGTGTGTAAGGGTTGCATTGTGTGTGTGTGTAATGGATGCATTGTGTGTTTCTCTGTGTGTAAGGGAAGCATGTTGTGTTTCTGTGTATGTATAGGGATGCATTGTGTGTGTGTGCACGCGCGTAGTGTGAAAGAGCTCCCTGTCTTGGCCCCTGTCCTATAGAGCTGCCCCTTCTGTCCCGTAGAGCTCTCCCCTGCACCTTTAGTGGTCTCTCCTCTCCCCACCCTCCCCTAGCGGTCTCTTCTCACACTCACCCACCCTCCCTGTGCTCTTCTCATCCCCCCTCCACCCTCCCTGTGTTCTTCTCACTCCTCCCTCTATGTGTTCTTCTCACACCCCCTGTGTTCGTCTTACCCCCCTCCTCCCTGTGTTCTTCATACTTCCCCCCTTGGTCGTCTTACTCCCCCACCTGTTCTTCTTACTCCCCCACCTGTTCTTCTTACTCCCCCACCTGTTCTTCTTACCCCCCTTCTTCTTCTTACCCCCCCTTCTTCTTACCCCCTTCTTCTTCCCCCTTCTTCTTCTTACTCCCC